CTGGGGAAGGGGATAAGTGCTATACGACTGCAGCAGACAGGAATTTTCCTTCTTTTTCTAAGAATAACAGAAAGCATTAAGAGGCTTCAGCCAGGATGATGGCAAGGTCCAGTTTGCGCATTGAAAACTCACATTAGCTGCAGGATGAAAAACAGAACAAGTGGGCTTAAGGAGGCCAGTCAGAAGCAGCAGCAAATAATCAGGTGAGGGTGGCGGGGTGTGGACTCCAGGCATGGGGGAGCTGGAGAGCAGTGAGTGGATTTAGGAGCTTCAGGGACAGAAATTCAAACAGGACTTGGTGGTGAGCTGGATATGCTCACTAGTTCTCTTCTGAGCTTTGGATCAGTTGACGGAACCGAACCTCAGGTTTCAAGGTAAGCGACTAAAGTACTCCTTCTTCTTTCTTACTCCCACACTCCTTTCAGGGCAGAGCCAGAGGTGCTGTGCATTTATGCTGGGGGAGGAGGCACTGAAACGTGGAAGCTGTCCCTCGATGTAGAGGGGCTGATCTCATGTGCAGAGGCACGACCCCATCTCTGAGCTGTGCACTGTGTCTCTAGCATCCTGGCACAAAGCAGGAAATGCCATGTGCTGGGGCTGGGGTGGGAGGGGCACATGACAGATCCCCATCCACAGGCAGACTACAGCCTCGACGAAAATCTTCCCTGGGGAGCAGCTGTCTGTGCTAACTGGTAGATTGCCTGTCTCTTTCTTGAGAAAGCACAGCAGATGCTTTTTATATAATGTCCAATTACCCCCAAGGAATGTCACCGTTTTTATGATTAATCAGTTGCACATACTCAGGGACATATGTGAGGAGAGTATTCAAGGACAACAGAAGACCCTGCAGAGAGGAGATAAATGGAACCCAAGCCTGTAGCCAATAGTTAAAGAAACAAATGACTGTATGTATTATGCAAGTATCTCTTGTTGTAGATTGTAGCCAAAATGAGGACTGTTTTAATCTAAACTAATTGTGAAACGACCCTATGGATTATGTAAATGATAGCGAAAGCTGTGAACAATAGATATCCCCTTCTCAGAATTCAAATGATAATAAGCTAGGGAGCCTGCACTTGTGATTATTAACACATCTGATAAACAAAATTGCTTTTGTGCTTAAGAGGATTCTTCCAAAACAGAATAGAACCAAGCAGAAATATCCTGTGTGGGTTTTTTTGTTTTGTTTTGTTTTGTTTTGTTTTTGGTAAGGGAAGCTCAAACATCAATTGTTTTGTGAAGTTTTCTCTGATCTTTAGAGCAGAATTAATAGGCCTCTCTTCTGAGCTCTTAGGGCACTCATGCTTGGGAATTATTTATCAGGGTAAATCTCTCAGATGGTTGTCTTTGATTATGGTATCTAGCATGTCATTCAGCCTCCTTTTCATTCTGGACCTTTAAGAGAGGTGCAGATAGGAAAAGCAGCAGCAGCAGTTGGGCTTGCAGCTGCTCACGCTATGGAACAGTTCATGGGGCCAGGCGTGCACACCACACATTAACCTCGTTAGTCCTCACTGTCACCTTGATGAAGCAGGGACCACAACAACGAGCAGGAGAGGGAAGGCAACATGTCCAGTCACTCCACTGCTAATTGGGGACAATCAAGATTCTAACTCCGCCAGCCTGACTCTGCCACTTCCCAAAGGATGGGGCAACACTGGCCCAAGAGGCAGAGTACGCGGGATCAAGTCTTTATGTGTCCGTTTATTAGCTGTGCAGTCCCAGTATAACTGTTGAGCCCCTTTGACCTTGGACTTGCCTGCCTCACCAGAGTCCTGGGTCTCATCCACACTCACTGGCAATACTGCAAGCAGGCCCCTGCCTGGGCTTCCACCACTGACCCACAGCCTGGATTGCCAGTTTAACATCTGAGCCAAATGTCCTCCATGAGACAAATGTTTGCTTGGGCGTAATTTCTCTCCTAATGTCTTTACTCACCTTATAGTTTTTGAAGACCAGGTGATGCACTAGGCTATGAGCTTTGAGACAGCAAAAATTTAGCAAATGCTCCCTGCACTCCAGGAGTTAAAGGCAAGCAAGGATTTATTCAGGAAGCCAAACCTCCAGCACTGTATGGTAAATGCTCTTCCCATCATGCCATGCACACTCCTATCATGCCTATTACTCCCCCATCACACCATATTCTCCTGTCATCCCAAGCGCTTTCCCATCATGCCATGCTCTCCTGTCATGCTAAGTGCTTTCCCATTATGCCAAGCACAATTACTGACAAGAGAAATCCATTCTTCCTTCTGCTTTATTACTCTTTTCTTTATATCTCTTACGTGCATTTGGTGTTCCAGGGACAGTATCTCCATGGCTCAGTGGCTTGGTAATCACTTATAATTTGAGACTGACCTTTCTTAAACATTACTCAGTGATAAACATATTGCTTCCTTCATGTTCACTGTGATTACCATTTAAATTCAATTTGTTTGTACAGCAGATCAATGATCAAAACAAATAAAAGGGTATTTGCTTCTTTCAACTACTGCCTTTGGATGTGAGGTCTGTATGACCTACACTTTCTCAAAAATGTATAATGGCATAAAATTTTAATGGTTTTTTAAAAGTTTTTTTGACATGGCATTGCTGATAGGAGAAGTAGATGTTTTGTCATTCCTGATTGGTCACCTTCACCCAGAACCAAGGAAAGAGCTATTGCCTCCACTGCAGAGTATGGAGACAAGCACAGCCGCCATGTTTCTCCCAGGGATACCACACCCTCACTTGTGGAGAACGTTTTGGTTCTCAAGTGTGAGGGCATGTTTGTTTTATCACGTAGTTCCTTCTCTCCTCCTTGCCCTAAGTTTCCAGAAGTAAGATTAGAAATGTCACTTATTCAAACACAAATCAAAAGGAAGCCTGTTTTGGAATCTGGTCTATGTCTCTGCAGCAGTAACTTTATTATTTGTCAGGGCAAGCTAAGCTATGGGGCAGTTCTAACTAACTTCTTTCCTCCTGGCCTCCCTGACAACATAGAGTTATAACAAACAAAGGTAAATGAGAACTTTGTGGCTCCTACCACCATCGCTACCTTATTTTGGGTACATCTGGACACATGACAGAGCACTTCCTGTCTGGTAATGGAGGTTTACAATTTGGCTCCCCTGGTGATTAGAACGTTAGAGCACAGAAGTCATCACTGAAGGCCACTGTCACTGGCAAGGTCTCCTGAGCCACTTTGCAGCACCCATTGTCTGAGCAGGTGAAGGCCTCTGTCTCTCACTGCTTTAAATGTTGGCCAGAAGAAAAAGCCTTGCTTCTGAAATGCATTCTAAGTATATTACTTTTAACATGGCAGCAATGGGCTAAAGAGATTTGGGGAGGCTGTAGAGAGGCAAGTTCCAAATTCCATTAAAGCACATTAAAGAAAATGAAATTAGCCTAGATGTGCAAACACACATCAAACCATTAAATAATTTAAAGAGCTCTTAGTGTAGCACAGACCCATATAAGTACGGGCACCCTTAAACTACTTGAGTTGTACTGAGCTAAAGTGCTTGGCAGAACTAAACCTGGAGGTGGATATTAAAAACCTAGAATTCAATAGGAAGCGCTTTCTTGTGAAGGCCAGCCAGGACAAATGTTTAAATGGGACATTTCCTGGTCCCTAATGCCAGAGGAAGTTGCGTGTACGCCAGCTGCCTAGCCAATATTCGTCTTCTCTTTATCCTCCCTAACGGAACTTCAGTTTTACCCAGGGAATAATATGCCCACTAATTTCCTAGCCTTTCCTGAGGCAGGAAGTGACCATTTGGTACAGCTCTGGTTCAATAAGGTTCAAGTAGAAATCTGCCGAGAATTTCTGCCAAAGTCTAATTTTTGATGGAGATACCATCCCTTTTCCTTCCTTATGTCCTCCTCTTTTCTGTCTGGAAGGTAATTAGGAGGCTGGGAATGGAGTGGCTAGTTTCTAAACTTCCAAGAGAAAGAACACAACCTGCTGAGCACAGCACAGCAGAGGGACGGGAACCAGGCACATCAGGTCGGTATGAGCTGCTGGACCAGTCTCGTATTGCCCACCTATGACTTTCCAGGTGAGGGAAATAAACCTCTACATGGCTAAAGCCTTGTGGCTGGGTTTCCGCTTTGCGCAGCTGGACGCAATCTTTAGCCCATAAAGAGTATCACCAGACAAAAGATTTCCCATCCTGTAAGATTTAAGATTGGTAGGTTAAACATGGGTTCTTGTTACAAGACCTTCCTGGGCCTTTTATATCCTATCTTCCCGATGAAGTTCAGAAAGGAGGAGAAGTAATTGGACCATTAGGGCTCTAACTTCATCAAGTCGGTTAACCCATTCATGAATTCACTTACTGAATAGGCTTATTAGGAGGTGGAGCCTAATTAGATACTAGGGGTGTGGCTCTGAAGGGTGTTTTTTTCCTCAGCCCCTGCTTCTCTGGCTCTTTCCCTTGCTGTCTGCTTCCCAGCTATCATGCCATGAGCAGCTTTTCCCTGTGATGCCCTCTGCCTTGATATTTCTGCGTTGCCACAGGCCTAAACAGTGAACTGGCCAACATGAATGGAAACCATGAGCCAAACGAAGTCTTTCCTTCTTTAAATTGTTATTCTCAGGCATTTTTGTCACAGTGATAGAACGCTAACACTCTTGGAAATAGTATCCCGTCACATGTACTTTGGGAAGCAATGTTCAGGTTCTCTTCAGTTACTTTTTCTCTCTCTCTTCTAGACCAAGAAAAAAAGTATGTCTTCCCAGAACATACAAGCATACATTCTTAGCAAGGTTTGAGACATAAAACTATTGTAGCTTTGTATACTGGGCTCAATAGTATCTCCCCAAAATTTGTGTTCATCTGAAACCTCTAAATATGTCTTTACTTGGAAATAGGGTCACTGTAGACACAATCAAGCTAAGATGAGATCATAGTGGGTTAGGGTGCATTCTAAATCAAATGGCCAGCATCCTCACAAAGAGAGGAAGATTTGGACATACAAGGTCACAGAGGAGACAGACACACAGAGGAGACCATGTGACCGTGGAGGCAGAGACTAGAGTGATGCAGCTGTGGACAAGGAATGACAGGGATTTCTGGTCAACACCCCAAGAGAGAAAGAGAAAAGGACCCTCTATCACAACCTTCAGAGTGAGTGTGGCCTTGCCAACACCCTGATTTCAGACCTTTAGCTTTCAAACTGGCTGAGAGCAGATTTCTCTTGTTTTATACCATTCAGTTTGTGGTACTTTGTTAAGGTACTTTGTTAAACTAATATACTTTGTAACATTGTAACAAAGTCTAAATTTTTCATTGTAATTTTTCCTGTGTCCAGGAGGAAAAGTAATGGTCAACATGAGGCCTGGCCATCTAGAGACACTGCCAACCCCCACCCAGCTCCTTCACCACATTTTAGATTCTTATAAGAATGTATATTCCTCCTGTTGCTTTTCCTTGTGATCAAATACCATCTTGGAAACTCTGACATTAAAAAAAAGGGAAAGTTAATGTTTAATAGAAATGCCCTAAAGAATAGCTTTTCAGGAACCTGGATTTGTCATTAATTATCTGCCTCACCTTGGGTCAGTGCCTTCTCTTTCCTCTACTTCATTTATCTGATCACAGTAACTAAGGGGTTGAACAGGCAAATCTTTGCAGTCCCTTCTGCTCTGACACTCTGAAATTCCAGTGGGGACGTGTGATATGTGATGTACATTACTCAGAAACATAAAGACAGGCAGAGCCAGTTGGGAGAAAAGTCTGGCTAATGCTTAGGGATCCTTTTGAGCTCTTCTGAATTTGTTTATACAGATGTTCCTGAGTTGTGATGGGGTTGGTCCTAAAAGACTCATCATAGATTTAAAATATAAATTGAAAATACATTACCTGTTGAATATCATAGTTTAGCCTTGCCTGTCTTAAACACACACAGAACACTTACATCAGCCTATAGTTGGGCAAAAGCATTTAGCACAAAGCTTATTTTATAATAAAGTATTGCACATCCATGTAGTCTATGTAATACAGTACACTGTCCAGCATAGGTGCTTATTGCTGTGATCATATGGTTGAGAAGAAGCTGCAGTTTCCTGCTGCCTCCCAGCAACTCAAGAGAGTATTGGGCCATCTATTCCTACACTGGGAAAAGAGAAAAATCTAAAGTGCAGTTTTGGGCCGGCGATACAACTCAGTGGCACAGCGCCTGCCTAGCAAGCACAAGGTCCTGAGTTCAATTTCTCATACCAGAAATAAAGGAAATAAAGTGCAGTTTCTACCAAATGAGTATTGCTTTCTCACCATTGTAAATGAAAAAAAATCATAAGTGTAACTCTTATAATCCAAGGACGTCTGTATATAAGAGCCTTACTTCCTAGAATGAGTGCTCCATTTGGAATTATGTTCACCTTGGCATAATGAAAATCTCAGAGGATGGATTCTTTAAAGAGGGCTGTAATAGAAATTACTAGAACAAAAATGAATGTATCTCTCTTTTCCACTCGTAAATTTATACCTCAAAAAACTAGGTAAATTATTTATATTACAAAAAAATATTGTTAGAGGTTTACTAAAGATTTCCTTTAAGATATATAGTATAACAAGGCAGATGATTAACCTGCTTTTCTCCCATCCGAATAACACAAATTCCCTGAGATTGTCTTTTATCTTAGCAATTGGTTTCTACCCACATGACATATAGGTTGCCTTTTCTGAACACCTCCATTTCTCATCATACTCTGCAAGTGTGCTGACCAGTACACAGCCCAGTATTCTCAACACTGAGCAACACAATGAAAGCTTAAGAAGGGAGCATATGTTGGCGCTTGATGGTTACTTTTCTCAATGCAACCCACAGGCTACAGACAATCAATGCTATAGTGAGAAGTAAAATAGCTCCTGCTTTTGCAAAACCATAATGTTTTAGTGAGATACATCACAATATTATAGTTATCAGATGCAAATGGTATTATTGCCTTAAATGCATGTAACCCCTTCCAAAATGGTTTGGTAACAGCAAACAAACTACACGTTCTAGAACACTCAAACCCTTTGGACATTTGGCTATGGACATTTGTAATATAATTTATACCTAGCAAGGACATAAAAACCTTAAAATAAGATACTGTCTCCCTAATTCTCTATGCATATCAATGGCATTATTTACTACTATATTTATAATAAAGGAGAAAAATAGACTACAAAAATGAATTGTGTTTTTTAAGGTCATAAACTGCAGATCTGTGTAGGTTTAACTAGTTGTAAGGTATAAAGTTTATTCATTTACTCAGTCCATAAAATTTATTGCTTATTATGGATCCACTTTTTCTCATCCAAAAAGAATGATGTGAATAATATCAACTACCTTGTAAAGTGGTTATGATTATTAGACTTTTAATACATATAAATGTAAATATACATAATTAACGTGGCCTGACACACATGAAGTACTGTTTATATCACCTACTATTTTTACTATGGAGCCAAGGGGAAAGATTTGGGATATGTTTTAGAGGACTGAGGCAACCATAATTTGCTGATGAGAAAGTGAAGAGAGATACCATGATTAACTTCAACATTTTTGGCTTGAACAACTGGGACGATCATGCAAGGAAAATGCAGAGAAACAGGCTTAAGGAAAGAAATCAAAGGATAATGTCAGGTGTGGTCTGAGATGCCTGTAAGGCATCCATGTCAAAATGTCAAGGAAGCAGCTGGTACACACACCTGCATCCTCACTCCTCATCCCCATGCAGAGTAAGATCCAAAGACCAGCTGTATGAGCATTCCTGGGGAGCTACCTGGACACGAAGCCTCTCAGGCCTTGCTCCAGGCCTGTAGAACTGAACTACATTCTACTACATGATATAGTTAGAGAAAAGGGTCCCCAGGGGGTGGGTGTGCACATTAAAACCTGATAGGCACTCAGCTCAAGTTTGGAGAGACAGACACTTTGGACTCAATCGTGTATAAATGGATCCTAAAGCCAAGGCCTGGTAAGCTCTGCTACAGAAAGCATCATGAAGGGATGCATACAGTGAACCTACAAGGGAAGAAAAGGGACAGCCAGTGAGACAAAGGGAACCCAGGAGAGCAAGGTGCTCCAGGAGGCAAAATAACAGCATGTTTCAAGAAGTGGCCAACTATGTTGAATGCTACAATGGGCCTAGTAAGATAAGAACAGAGAATTAGCTGGGCACGGTGGAAAATGCCTGTAATCTCCACACTCTGGGAAGCTGAGACAGGAGGATCACAAATTCAAGCCTAGCCTAGACAACCTAGTGACTTAATGAGACCGTATATCAAATTTAAAAAGGGCTAGGATTACCTTAATGTGAAGGCCCTGGGTTCAATGCCCAGTACTGGAAAAAAATGAATATTTATTAGATTTCCCAATATGGGTGTCCACATCAATACCCTTGACAAGACCAACCTTAGTAGCTTAGAGGACAGAAGCCCGGTTGACAGAGAGGGTGGAAGTGAGGATGCAGGAAATGAAACAGAGCAAAGCTGACTCCTCCAAGGAGTTTTGCTGAGAAGGTGGAAAGATAGGGTAGTAGCTGGAGAAGCTTGAGTGGGAGATACTCGAGTTGCTTGGTGGCTGATGGAAATGTTGCAACTGAGAGACAGACAGAAGCGGGTGGGTGTGTTGCTGATGCAGAAAAGAAATGCCAGTTGCTGGAGTGGTGTTTCTGAGAAGTGGCCAAAAGCCCGGAAGGAAGGTTAATCTTTGACAGGAGCAGGCCCACTTGACCTGGAGCAGCAGGTAGAGTGATCTGCTGCAGGGATGTGGAAGGGTGGGTTCCCAGCTCATAGTTTCTGCTTCTCATTGAAATCAGAGGCACCCAGCAAAGTGGGTAGGGTGGGGAGGGAAAGATATTTAGAGAAAGGAGGAGTGAATTAGTCATTCTGGAAAGTGGGAGAGTAAATGCCAGATAGTGTAGAATGGCTTTTTTGAGATTTTTGGCCACACACTTTTGTAAAACCCCATACTCTACCATAGTATGCTTCATTCCTCCAGAAATGTCTTTTGCTAATGCACAGAGCATGAATCATAGGAAAGTGAAGCTTCGCCATCGATTCTTATTATTCCCGTAAGCATTTTATTACATTAAAGGTCACCAACAGCAGAGCAGTCTAGACAGAGAGTCCTCACGGAGCAAGATGGTGATACATAAGGACAAGAGCCTTCTGTCCCCTCCGTGAAATTTATGGCTCAGAGGTGATGCAGGAATTAAAGACAGGAAAACACAAGATGCCTCAAGGGATGGAGCACTTACAGTTCACAAGAACTGCTAGGAGATTCCTCATGAGACAAGTACTTTGGTAAACAACATCAGATACTGTTAATTGCTTTTGATTGAGTTTTGAACAAGCGCAAAGTCAATATCACCTCCTTGGTTACCTTCTGTCCTGTTTGGAAACCAATCCAAGTGAAAAATCACACAATCCTTTGCAGCACTCCTTAGTCCACCCACATAAAGCCCTTTTCTGTGATGCTCTCCTGAGCACACCGTTGTCCCACAGCCTCCTCTCCACCTCTTACTGCTCGGTGCAGTCTGGGTTCCCTACAGCCACCTCTTTCTGTTTCCACTCCTTCAAAAATCCCACTGCTTTGAAGGTGCACATCTTCCAGCTGACATCCCGGCACCCTTCCTTGTGACTCTCCTGTACCCTCCTAGCAGCCGCTTGTCTCATTCTCTGATCATGTCAGCTCCTGGCCGCCCATCTCTCATTCTCTAGCCTTACTCATTCCTGATGACCTCTACATGCACACAGTGGTTCATCCAACAGCAACCCCCCATGGTCTCTGATGCCAGCCAGCTCTCATTCTGCACCAGCCTCAGTCACCTTCTCCCATGGTCATACTCTAGAAACCTTTCCTTCCTCTGTAAGATCCCCATCACCAACATCTGGATGTCAATATCCTACTCCTCAATCATCCCTTTCCAGCCCACCTACTCTAGTACCCTCCTTCTACCAGTTACCCAACATCTCCAAGACCCCTTACTTACTTTTTCCCTATGCCACAACTCCATTCTTTCCATCCTTCCTTATCCAACTTAAATGGCCCAAGTTCGTAACCACTCCCTTGCAAAGCACCCCTAACTCAATTTCTGTTCTCGCCATCCACTATTCTCACCCATCAAAACCTGACATGACCTTGCTCCCGATCTGTACCTGAGCATTTGACCCTTGCACACAACTGCACAGAATGTACTCACTCCAGAAAAACCTCCATTCCTTTCAAATGAGTTCTTACCATTGCCAGGCAAGCCACCCTTCCCTGGTAGAGACTGCAAGAGGATGGTTTTATATAACTGATCTCTCCTCAAATCCCTACAACCTCCTCACCCCACTCTCAGCCAATGAAATCATCTCATATAGTATCATGAAAATGCCTTATAATCAGCCAGCACTATTTATGCTCAACTCAATCCTACTAGTCTACCTGAGTCAGCTCAACATCACTCCATCCCCATGGGAACTTCCCTGGTCACTCTGGCTAAAGCAGCTGTTTACTCAATTATCTACATGCTTAGCTTCTGTCTATCTCTGGTGGAGTGTGAATTCCTGATTCTCCATGGTACCCACAGTGCCTGGCTGTACATGGAGAGGTGTTCAATAAACACTTGTGACTGGTGATACACAGGGGCAGGCCACACAACTTACCTACTACTGTGATAGGTTACTTATTTTTGCTAGTAAACCTCAAGCAACCACAAATGTATATTTTCTTGAGCATCTTTCCTTGATTTTTCCTTTCCTCTCTGCAAAATTTAACAGTGGGTCTGCTACTTATCTGAGTCAAACTTATCTATTTTCAGAAACTAGTTACTGAACTAAAGATACAGAAATCAGAACTTGAAGTGAGCAAAGAAAACACAATGGAATCAGTATTACAGCTTGTATTCTTTCTTCTTCCACCCTTGCCTAACAGAGCTGCCAGCCCCTCATAAAACAAACCACAAAGTCCTCCAGAGGAGAACTCTCACCGCAGCCTGTGCAGAGGGAAGGATCGGATACTCCGGCTCCCGACTTCATCCCCTGAACATCACTTTTCTCTCAGGCAACTCTGCATCCTCCCATAAGCCCATTATACATCTGCTCCCACTCTGACACTAAAGAGCCACCCTCCCCCTGTTTGCCTGAGGATAAGAGCACCTTGCTGATTTTAAAAGAAAGGAAAAACTAAGGTGAGATACTAAAGCATTTAAGCACAGGAAAAGATTCTCAGTATCATTAATCATTAGGAAAATGCAAACTCAAATCATGCTCAGATACTAATGTGATGGCTAAAATTTTAAACAAACAAAACACCTCACAAGAGCAAGTACAGTGCAACCAGACTCTTATGTATTGTTGGTAGGAACACAAAATAACACAGTTATTTTGGAGGTACCTGCTTATAAAGCACACACTTATTACGCTACATTGCAATACTACTCCTAGATACTTAGCCAAGAGAAATGAAATCTTATGTTCATACAGAAACTTATATGCCAATGTGTATAGGGGCTCTATTCATAATTGCCCAAAGTTGGAAATAACAGAAATGTCTTTAACAGATAAATAGCTAAACAAATTGTGGCACATCCATCTAAAGCCACATTATACATCAGTCAAAAAGAATAAATGTTAATATTTGTAACAGCATGGATAAACTTTTAAAGAAAAGTTATGCAAGGTGACAGAAGCCTAACACAAAAGACTATGATTCCATTTCTATTACATTCTGCAAAGAGCAAAACTGCTGTATAGGCTAACCCAAAATCACATGGTTGGTTCCTAGGGCCTGCAGATGGGATTCACTACAAAGGAGCATAATAAAACTTTTTTATCCTGATTGAGTGGTGGGTACATGACTGTATTGTGTTTGTCAAATCATAGAGCTACAGAGGTAAGGAAGATAAATTTTATTGTATATATATTACACTTCAATAAGCTTTATCTTATTTTTTTTAATCTACAGGCTTAGTAAATCAAAAAGTAACTTTCTGTATAATGCTGGAGTGAACACAGTAATAAATACCAGCAACACAGAACAAATCCTCTTTAAAGAACCGGTGCCTGATCCTACAGTTGCTGTGCTCTAGCCTTGAAAGAACCTACAATGATGAAGCACCTTGTCTGTAGCCAGGTTTATTTCAAGTTGCGATCTTGCTGCCTGCCATCTGGGTGCTGGGCAGTCATCCATCTCAGCTCTAGCTTGAACAGGGCACAAAAGACCTCATTCCAAGTCCATAGCCACCTGGGCCATTTCATTGGCAGAATCTAAGTTAACTGGTATCCTGGAAGGTGGGTCCCCCACTTGCAGCTTTGTCCAAGTGTCTCCCCACATCACCTTACAGGTACAGCAGCAAAAAGATTGCTACACCATACATGACTAGATTATGCGACTCACCAAGTGGGAGTGGAAACCTTTATCAAAATCAAACTCATTTTAAAAAGAATACTTTAGCAGGTGAAAGGTCACGGAGGATGTGCTATAGGGGGAGCACAAAGAAGTTTTTAACTTTTCTTAAGCCTCATGTTTACCCAAATCCCTTTTAGACTATTATCCAAACTCTTCTTTCTAGCTTGCCCCTTCTACTTTTTTAAAGTCTCTGATGAGAAATGACTGCTAGAATTGCCAATAATCTTCAGCGGACTGGAAGAATGTTTCAGTGTTCCTGAACTATTTTAGATGGGAGAAGACACTTGGATCTAACTGATAACTATTTGAGGGCATTTTCATAGCAAAGAAAATCAAACTTCATCAGGTTTTGAATTTAAAGTGAGGCCATGTAAATAGTTCATTTTACTACCATATATGACTTGATTGAGCATTAATGCACCTGGCTTTTAATTCAAGATAGTAGGCCTGTCCCATCTACCCTATTTTTCTCTCTCCTTGGACTCCATACATTGATCATTAGGGAATAAAAACATAGAATCCCATACTGACAAAGTAAGAATGGGTCATAACCAGACAAAAGACTTCCACAAATTTCTACAGGACAAAAAGTAGATGAGGGACTAGTGACTCACATCTGAGAGAGAAAGAAGTCTTGGCCTAGATTTCAGAGGAAACCAGAGCCAAGGAGGTAATGGATCTGTGTGGCAGAGCCCTAAAGATGTCCTGAACTCCAAGATGGCGGGAACACTAAGAGAACAGGAAGGGAAGAAGAGGCCGAGCACAGGAGCACAGACTGCAAGTTTCTATGCAAAGCAGCAGGCGCTGCCCACCCCCTCTTGTGCCCCACATAAAGCCATCCGCAGTGCAGCACTCAACTGTGCGTTACCAACATATCTCAAAATAGCATGCAGATACTGCTGTTTCTGAATTTATCTGCTTCAGTCACAGGCAGGTGCTTTTAGAGGGTGAGAACAGAGAGAAAACCAGAGGAGCTATGGTGCTGTTGATCCCCCCAATGAAAGTCCTTTTAAGTGTTTTTAGGAGCCCCCAGACAAAAGAATCTATTTGAACTTCACACTGGGAACATTCTCTACTTCTTGGCCCAAAGGGTGAGACACTGGAGCCCCTGAGCAGGACATGAAATCCTAGTGGGTGACATACTGCACAATGAACAATATCAACTCCAGCACATGATAAACACTTCAAGAGTTTTCAGCTTTTACAGTTACCTCATGGACAAATCATGGCTATGGCTTGGAACAGAGGAATATTTTATCCACACTGATGAGACAAAGGTAAACATAGAACTAGAGGGAAGGAGGAAGAAAGCAAAGGGAGGTGGCTGTAAGATAACAGCCTTATCTTACAGAGAGAGCATCAAATGACGTGAATAACAGCTTTTGCAATAAGAAGTTTGGGTTTTTCTTAAATATATTTTTATCAGTGCCTATTAATCTTACAGTATACTGGGTCTCAGTGTGGTATTTTTACACATTCATATAACATATTTTGATCACATCCATCCCCCATTACCCTCCCTTCCATCCTCTCTCAGTCCCTCCCTCTTGTCCAATAATAGTCTCCCTTCATCCTTTCTATATTCCACACATGAGAAAATATATGCAATACTTGGATACTTGTCATTCTGAGCCTGGCTTATTTAGCTTAACATTATGATGTCCAGGCTTATCCACTTTCCTAAAAATGACATACTTCTATTCTTTTTAATAGTTGAATAATGGTGCTGTGAGTGTGCACGTGTGCAGGCATGCAGTAAGGAGATGGAGGCATGATATAATAAGCTGCATTCTTGACTGTCATGTCAGGAAGTAACTAGACAAGATCAAAGTTGATAAATTCAGATACAGCAGTATGTGCTTATTATTTTGAAATAAGAAATAACTATCGCAGAAGCTGTTTTGCCTGGGATAAGGGATTTGGAGTGGGGTAGGGGTGTTCCTTTATACTAGAACCCTTTCAGTCCTATTTAATGTGTGAATGAACAATGTGTATGCATTGCCTTAAAAACTAAAAATTTGAGGATGGAGTGAAAGAAAGAAAAACAATGATCTTTTTTATGAAATAAGAGGAAGGAATTGCCACATAGTATGGTAGAAGCAACCACGGAATGGTTAAGTTGGATACTGCATAACTATGGTAACAGATGTAGCTAATTTAGGACACAAATGAGGGTGCTGAAAAGCTAAGAGAAACGTGGCATTAAGAGAGAAAGAGAATAAATTCTAAATAAAAGGATGCTGAGATAATCAGTATGGATGCTCTGGCATCTGACACAGTAAAGAGGTAAGAACTAAACCCACCCTCACTATTCCTGTATCTTTTCACTGTAGGGTTTTAAAAGTAAAAGCCAGATCTTTATGGGGCTCCATGCCAAGTAAAGAAAGCAAACATGATGAATTTCATACTCCATAAAATAACACAGGTAGAAAATCATGTCTATTGTTAAATAAATTCTGTCTTCATAAAGTCCCCATGTTTCCAGGTTTAATAACTTAATTTGTTCTTCAAGTAAAAACAATTTAATAGTGACATTCAAATGCACTTATATGGTTTTCCTTTCAATAAAATGATTCACAATTGAGCACAAGCATTTAACTACCCTTTCAAAAGTCCCTAGAAGAATACCAAAGAGACATAAAGATAGGAACAAATCTGCATCACTTCTAGTTACCAGGAAGCTGCCATCCACATGTCAGGAACTGTGGGGGAATTATATCTTTGTACAATGGTCCCTCCCATCCAAGAACATGACATTCTATTTCTTGAGTAAATGCTGTTCATACATATTTTCTGTGAAAATTGTCCATTTTATTAGGAGTTTCACAATAGGATTCAACAGTGTAGAGATTAATTAAGGAAGTCTCCATACTAGCAACAAAGCTTTCCACTATAATTCACCCACAAGTCTCAGATCAAAGAATAGGAGAAAAGAAGAAAACAAAGAGGTACATGAGAAGATAAGCCCTCCAAAAATGCCTCCAAAAATTCCCAGCTCCCCCAAAACTGAGCCATGCGGCACTGAAGGGGAGGAAATCCAAAGCAACATAGTCAAATTATTTGAAAGGATAACAGAGGTGATAACAAAAGAGATCAATAAGGCACTTGGTGAGCTCAAAGAAGATATAACTAAACAGATAATGGACCTAACAAAGAAAACAACGAGTCTACAGAAGACTCTATTAAAAAGCTAGCTGAGCTAACCAAAATGAAGCAAAACATAAATGACTGGCATAGAAAATAATTGAAATCCATGACAAGGAACCAAACAGACATTAAGGAGATTAAAAATTCTATCAAAAGCATGGGCAGCAGAGAAGACCAGTGTGAGGACAGAGAATCAGAACTAGAAGACACAGCTATTGTTGATGATAAATTAATGAGAGATACCTTAAACACAAAAGGAGAACATGAAAAAAAGATCCAAATGCTCCCAGATGACACAAAAAAGACTAATTTAAGAGTAATTGGAATTAGTGGAAAATGAGAAGATAGCACAAATGCCATAAAATCCTGTCTACTGAAATAATAACAAAAACTTCCCAAATTGAGAAAAGAATTTAACATACAGATATATGAGGCTTACAAAACCCCAAAAAGCCATGATTAGAAAAGAACCTCTCCATGACCCATCATAGTTAAAATCTCAGAAATTCAACACAAGAACAGAATCTCAAAAGCTGTTAGAGAAAAGCAATGATTCACTTATAAAGGTAAACCCATTAGAATTATAGTAGCATTCTCAATACTAACACTCCAAAAACATGGAGTAAAATGTTTCAGGCCCTGGAAGAAAACTTCCAACCCAGACTGATAGACCCTGCAAAACTATCTTTCCAAATTGATGGAGAAATAAGATATCTCTATGAATAAAGAACAACTAAAAACTTTATGACCACCAAACCAGCACTCAAAAAACTCTCAAGAATATCTGAGAAGGAGACAATGAAGTTAACAATGACAAAAAGGCTGCTAGAATGAATATGCCAGATAGGGTGAGCAATAAAGAAGAAGGAAAAGAAAGAAAGTCAGTAACAGGAAAATAACATGATGACAGGAATAAGTCAGTATCTATAGTAATAGCTCTCAATTCCCCAATCAAAAGACACAGATTGAAAGAATGGATCAAGAAACAAAACCCAATGGTGTACATTTAACACAAAAAGAAATTCAGAGACTAAAGGTCAAAGGATAGAAAATGATATTCCATGCAACAGAAACCTAAAAAAAGCAGGAATCACTATCTTATTTTCAAAGTAGACTTCAAGCCAAAACTGATTAGAAGAGGCAGAGAAAGTTACTACACATTGGTTAAGGGAACAATTCAACAGGATGTGATAACAACTGTTAATGTGTACACACCAAACAACAGTGCACCTAGAGTCATTAAACAAACACTACTGGAAATAAAAGATCAGATCAACATAAAC